GTGAAACATACATCACTTGGGCAGTGCTGGAGGTGGAATAACGTGGCAATCAGAAGTACCTCAACTAGGAAGCCAAACCAAGCGCGCAGAATACGGTAGCCACAATTCCTCCTACTGCAAAATCTTTTTTGGGCAACTCACATATTGCCACATTCTGCAGTGCCCTTTATGTTGAACCCTTTAAAGGTGAATTAAGCTCGATTAGGCTGTACACGCTGTTTCCGATACCCCTAGACCAATTACCATTCAAATTTTCCATTACAAAATCATTTGTTTTCACAGATACTGCAGGCGATATGTAAGGGCCACTTGTTTCAGGACAGCCGTATTGCCTGGAATTAACGCACAAAGGGTGGCGAATCACTTCGTTACGAACAGACTGTATGGTCGGTGATTTCACCCGCCTGGATCTCTTCATCAAATACTACGACTCTCCCTGTGATCTACTGAACGCCATATCTCCATCATATCGAGAACGGTTCAATGAGAAGGTTGCCATGCGACTGAAAATGGCTGAGGTAAGCATATTATGCGGCTTGCTTGATGTAATTAGCGCTGGTACAAGGTTTTAAGGGCTCGGCAAAAAAGGGGAGGGGGGGGGGCATTTTGCACTTTTGCTACTTCCCATCGACGTGTCGAGCCATCTAGACAGCTATTTCATGAGCTTACAAGAGTTGACAGGTTTTACCATGGTGGCTTGACGAGCTTGCTCCAGCTTCACAAGAGTTCACAGGTTTCACCAGAGTGAGACTTGTAAACCGGAACTAGTGAAGCAACGAAAGTGCAAAAGCTCCCCCCCCTCGCCGAACTGTCCCTCCCCTAATCGGAAGGGTTAATGTGTATAGTTTCGTAGGGGGTTGTATTAATGCTTGGAGGGGGGTGATCTCAAATCGTCGCAGCTGATTACTCATGTGCATTGGCGAATGTACTATTATAGTTATCTTTTTTCAGACTGGTGACAAACACTGTGTGGCACCATTTGGCAGCTATGACTCATCATACCTTAACTACTACCTGTATCGAAGAAGAAGTAGTTCATCAAGCGAAGGAAGTTCACTTTCGGATAAGGAATCACCAGAATCATCGGCTTTGTCACAAGTGGATGAACTAGATAACGAAACTCTATATAATTGAGAATTTGTTTGTTTTTTGAGCGCTATTCGGCTTGGTAGGGGCACCACACGGCAGTCAGACTATCTTTGATAACCCGTGAAATCGTGACTGAATGGTTCAGTGGCATCACCATCATCATTCACAAGCGTTCACAGGTCTTGACAAGTTAAGACCTGCTAGGAACAGAGCAAGCAAAGGGAACAATGCGAAAGTGCCCAGTGTCCTTCCCCCTCCCATGCCGAACAGCGCCTTTTTTGTTGTGTTTTCTCACATGCACACCTTAACCCTGTGACGCGGTAGGCGTGCTTCATTTGAACATGCTGTCAGATGGGTTTATTGTGGAGTATTCAAATACGCGTTCAGTGGAGTGCGTAGCCACGCCTACCGCATTTCAGGGATATTATGGCGTATATATTATTTCTGCATCGGGTTTTGAATCCGCCTTGGCGTGTAATATAGTAGTAGCTGGTCCAGACTCAAAGAGTATTGTACAGATATGTTAAAGTGCTAATAAATTAAAGTCCATCATTAGCAAGGGTTCTTATCAGCAGAGTGGTCCCACTCGTGCTGAGTGTCCCGACTGAGTTCAGGACGTTGATTAAAAGTGAAAACGTCTTGCAATTGCCCTGATACCGATTCAAGTGATCAGGTGATTGTACTGCGGTGCCCCATGTGAGCAAACAAAGCAGCAAATCCAACTCACGAGTGTGGTTTTTCATTCACTCCCATTTGTCTTCCGTTGTGTAACGTCTGGCAAAAAAAGCTACCGCGGGTGTATTGTGAAGATCTTTCCTTTCTCTATCCTATCAGAGTGCATCATCAACGGGGGATCCCATCAGGTGGGAGGAGGGGGGGGGTAGGGGAAAGGGGCGCTTGTTGAGTTTCCTAGGTTTATCCCGTTTTACGGTTGACATGTACCTACCGCTGAAGTGTACAATTAGTTCTAAGTTCGTCAAATTCAGTACCTGATTGGTGATGACTTCCCTCCTCCCCCTCCGCCGCCCCGACAACAGTGTTCTGGTGGGGGGAGGGAGGGGAGGGGAGGGGGGAAGGCAAAAAAAATGGAAAGCTGGAGAAGGTATAGGGAAGTTATGAGAATATGGGACGGTAGTAGGTGGGATAGGGAATGGGATCGTACCAGATGGGGGGACCGGGGTGGGGCGCAATGACACCGCCATTTCACACATCACTGTGCTGTACTCTGTATCCGATGAAGCACCGTTGGCTCCTGAAACTTTACCCCGTGAAACGACTGGATGAAGCAGCTACTGCTCGGCGGATCTCTATACAAAGCAGCAACAAGATCTGAAACGAAAAAGCCCATTAGAAAAAACAGTTTGTCCGCTTAGTCCGTTATCAGCGTGAGAGAACCATGCGAAAAAGATGGAGTCCAACCCTAAACAGTATAGCTGGAGAACTGGACCCTCCTTTAGCATTGGTCGCGTCCAGCACCTTCCGACATTTGCTTGTTTTCCGAGTTGACTTGTTTGAAGGACGAAAAAACTTCGAAACGGGTCTGAGATCAAAACTGAGCTGACGTCATACTTCGCCTGGGCCTACATTTGTAGGGATGGCCTCTATAAGGTACTCCAACGTTGGCAACGACCCCGCAACATTGTGGTGGATATGTTTGATATCACACTTCTCTCTACAGTAAGAGAGCCTGATGTCAAAGGTGAAAGGACAAAGGGCCAAAGTTCCACACAAGCTTAAAGACAAAGCTCGCTAACATCCACCATCACAGATAGCTTAGGAATTTGCTTATGATGACTAGGTGTTGAATAACTCGACAGCGAAGGAAAAAGCATGCTAAGTGCCCAGAATAGAACTCCTTGACCCATTTTGCATCAAGTAACTCTATCTCCAACATCCCAGTCCCCATTCGCACGCCGACTCGCCAATAAGAACCGTAACTCTACCACAAGTGGCGATTTCCATGCTTTTTCGTCCTGCAGCTTCGTTTTTCACTGAAAGGCGGACCGTGGAGGCGGAGTTTGGAGGCGGAGTGGAGAAAAGGAGGCGTCACCATAGCGCCCCTCCCTTACGATTTTTTGCCGCGAAACCGGTACAGGATGTTCGTCGTGGACCACACTATCCTCCAAACGCCATATTTTCAACCTCTGTAACTGGTCGCGAAGGGCTTAGCTTTGAGGGCGAGCGGTACATTCATGTCCATGTGGAAAGGAGAATCGATCCGCAGCTGCAGCAGCGGGCCACTTCCTCCGGTCAAAATCCATGGAGGAGATTGATACCCGGGTGCCGTCTCCATACTTCGCCGCGCTGCCACACGCTGAACCTTAGCCAAATACGCTGCGTTTCTGCGCTCTCTCACTTCTGCATATTCTCTATCGCTGAGTGCGCGGTTCGCAGAATTTCGGTATTGACGCAAGCGCCATACATTGAGGATAGCGTGGAGAGTACGGAGATGGCATTCAGGATGTAGGAACCGTGATGAAATTTGTCCGACTCGCCTAGAGCCTGGTTGGTAGCGCAAGAGCCCCGTATACCACATGCACGGACAGGGGTTATCAGCTGGATCCTGCGTCAGCTAACGCTCTGACGCAATCTCTTCTCTCCGTGGGTGGGTGATTCGTACCAGGTTGTCAGGGAGGATGAAGGCTGACAGCTGGCCAGCACGAATCATTACTGTACGGCCAAATCGTAATCAAAGACCACATCAAATCTGAGCAGAAGTAGAATGTAGCCCATGGGACACATGGCACATCCCAGAACAAGCTTTAGGGATATTTCTCTACTTGATAAACTAATAAATTTTTATTTGTTCAATTATAAACAACAGAAATAATGTAACAAAATTCTTCTAGAAAATAACAAACTGTACCCATCCTAAATTATAAATAAACGAGACTTGTAACACAGGAAGAAGAGATCATATGGTGGAGATGAGGTTGTGCAAACAGGGTGTAACATCGTAATGGGAGAAAGTGCGACCCCGCCCTCGCTTCGGTACGACCCCATCTCATAACCTTACCATCTTACCGAATTTTCCGAGAATTATGCACTCGAGCGTGAGGCAGACCACCCCGATCAAATTTCATAAATAGTATTTTCGCCAGTTCGCCAACTAAAGACGAGGAGGGGCGGAGAAAAGGGTGGATGTCGTGTAGCTCGCGGAGATACGGAAAAACCCACAACTGGAGAAAATTCGTGTGGAGGCCAAATATGACCACCCAGATGGGGTTTCCCAAAAATGATGCTGCACTCTGCGTGCAATACGATGATGAACTCTTTAAGATCACGTCACTTCCATATCGGACTCGTGCAGGATTTCTTGCATCTTTTGCGCGTTCAGATTCCCAGGAGGCAACTTTTGTAGGAGTGCTGTGATCACATCAGATCGATCACTGAATACCTCTCTCGCCTGAATTTCTGATATTTTTGGCGCAAAATCGACACCTGTACGAGTAACATCCCACAAGTAGCCTACCGTTTCAGTATGAGAACCAAAGAACCTCATACAGCATGCAATCAGTTTCTCACCAAAATAGACAGCCGCTTCTGAGTTGGAGATCGTCTGAATTACGACGATTAAGCAGTGTTCCTTCAGCTACTGGTCAGCGTTCAGACTTCGCGGTGACCCGCGTTGACGCACGTCGCGCGAAGTCTGAACAGTGCCCAAACAAGATACAGCACTAAATCATTTTTAGGTCAAATTAGACTATGTGCAGTAACAAGTCAAAATAAACTGCGAGCACCTCATAAAATGAAAGGAATGCATGAACAGCGTCTCCAAGCACATAACGATAAGACGTTTCACGCATTGATGGCAGGAGCTTCTGAGTGGCGTCGAGAACGAAAGCGACAAACGGCATTATTTCCTAATAACAGATAATATTAATAAACTACCAAGCACATCAACAGATAATTCTCTTCCTCGTGGAAAACAACTTCAGAAAGGATAAGTAATGGTTCCCAGAAGGAGACGTCCTGAGGTTGAGGAGAATTTTTGCAAAGTTAGCGAAATACGACCCTCAAAGTTTCCTATTCTGGCACGGCTCCCTTCCCCTCCTCCCCTACCATTTTCTTTCTTGAATCCTCCCAACTTCTTATAATTTTTCCGGAGATTCCCAAAAATTTCCCAGCTATTCATCAGTTTCCTCGAAAACCGCCGTCAAGCGGTGGAGGGGGAGGGTACATAGCGCACGTGAAGCCGAAAAAACAAACCGACAGCTGAAAGCGAATACAAACATTTTTTTTTGTCTCAAGGCAAATGCGGCCCTTCCCCCTTCGGCCAAACACGACCCTTCTCGCTAAGAATCCACAACGTTTCAAACCAAAGATTTACCTTGCGCAACGCAGGGGGCATCCGTGTCAGCAACGGAATTTGTTGTGCCATCGTGCCGAAATTCCTAAATGAGTTTTCGTGTAGAAATCACATGTAACAGTAAAAGAATATTAGCGTAATCCACCCACCTAATCATTACTTTTGGATAAGTCTCCACTAACTGTGTGAGAGTTCGTACAGCACAAGCCGTGTCCGACTGAGTCGGATCCACAGCCTGGGCTACCAACGTTGTTACTAAGCCGTCCGTATCCCGTTGGCGCCATCGAAATCCTTGAATACTTGCCTGATTGGCCAATGGATCCACAAACAGACCTTCAACAAGATGGAAATTCACAGCAGTCTTCAATGATAACAGTCTCATAGGTCTAAACCAACATGGATATTTGAGTTGTATATCATCAAGCAAGTTTTGGGCATGCTTGCGCTTCTCGATTGGCAGATCCGATCTGGCTAATGTCACTATTATTTCGGCTATCGGTACCGCAACTTCGACAGTTGTAAGATCAACCTGTAACGGAGCGACTAACATAAGATAAAACAGAACACTGGAGGAAGATCGTTGGCGAGTGTGTAGTGCGACAGTCGTCCTGGAGCTCAAGAGAATGGTTGACATGGACGAGTTGTCTGGGTCAGTATATGGTTTGCTGAGGCCCGAGAAGGTGGCAATCACAGCCCCGGCGCACCCGATGTTTGGCCCTGCTGTGTCCAAGCAAGCTATGGATTCCGCGATCCGCGATAGCATACACCGCCCGACGCAGTGCTCCCAACGGGGCACTTGCTAACAGAGGAAGTGGGGGCATTTTGCACTCTTCTCACTTCCCATTGGCGTGTCGAGCAATTTAGAAAGCTATTTCACGAGCTTACAATTGGCGCGTTCTACCATGGCGGCTCGACGGCTTGCTCCAGATTCACAAGAGTTCACAAGTTTCACCAGAGTGAGACTTGTGAACCGGAACTAGTGAAGCAGCAAAAGTGCAAAATGCCACCCCCCTCCCCCTACGCCGCCGAACTGCGCATTCCCGACCATTGTAGCAACAACACATTGCGAGTAATACAACCAGCAACCGTATCGTTACAGGGGTGACGTCGCGGCCACGCCCACTAACGTTCTCACCTTACGACTGTCTCAAATGTCCCTCCTCTGACTCTCAGGGCCATCACGCCTTTCGAATCATACAGACTGGACCATCTTGAAATCATGGATTAGGGGTCGGCGCTGCGTCAAACCATCCCTTTGGGGTTCGACCATGGATGGGTTCGAAAACCAACGTAATAAGAGCCTACCAATCGAACAATGAGATCAACTGCAGCTTTCATCTGCTGCGGATCAGCCATAACCATTTCGACAACATACTGGGCAAGGCACGCCCATTGCTGAGCGGTCCAAACACGGCAAAATTCACGAATCGCATTCAGCATGAAGAATGAGCACACTATTTTCGGATTATATCTGAAACGTAGCTTTTATACCTTTCCCAAACATGGCAGCTCAAAATGAACACACTTTGGATTGAATGACGAAAGCAATCTGATGAATACTGTCTCAATCGTCTTCAGTGGACTTCGAAGGGGCATCTGTGCTACCAGCTCTTCTATACCAGAATCGCCGAATATTGCCATCATCTGAAGCCACTAATAATAGCGAAACTCTGAGTAATCATCAAGAACTATTTTCTACCTGTGCGTCGAATTCCGCTGGACTTGAATTCCTCTTGAAAATCTCCACGCGACGTTGTAGAAACTTGTTAAGCAGCCTGAACTAAGCTAGCTGAATGTACTGATTACTGCACATCGATATGAATTATCCCTACAACTGGACATTACAGAGCCGCAGTTGGGCTTGGTGGGGGCACCGATGCTACTCGATAAGTTAAACTACCTTGTAGAGACCTGTAAATTCCTGCGTCCAAAGCGGTAATTTAAATAGTTTCGTAACTTCACAAGAGTTTACAGGTTTGACTCGACTGGGACTTGTTAGTTAACATGAAACAATGAAAGAAACGAGCGGAAGTGCAAAATGCCCCCTCCACCAAGTACATAACTGAGTTCAGAAATTACGGCTCGTTTAGGCCCTATACACGGCTTGATCTGGAGCACGACCTGTTAACCAGCAGGTTAATATGTATTAACGAAGAGAACTGAAGTGCAAAATGCCCTCTCCAAGCCGAACAGCACTTCACAGGTCTTCACTTGATGTGGGCTTGTACAAGATTTCGGCTAGTTACGGCATGTAGTGCCCACTAACAAAAAACGCGCACCAGCAGGCTTACTAAGTACAAAGAAAGTAACTTACAACGCGGCTCGATGCTGTAAGCCCATTAGGTGGAATATTTTTTGTGTGGAGTCCTCCAGCATACTCTTCATCGGTCAGCTCTGAAGATTTATCTAAAGCTGAAGAAACTGAGGAGCTAACGAACCGAGTGAAGAAGCCCAGTGGTTCGTGAAACGTGTTCCAAGGTAGTCCGTGGTGCGGTGGGAGGGGGTTCAAAGCCGCACACGGCGGCTTGTCCGTTCAGATGATACAAGGCCATCTTCTCTGACCCAGGGGCAATAACCTATGCAGTGGGGTTGTTGATGAGTTCCGTAGCGACCCTTCCACCCCTTAACCCCAGGGAACATCTTACCGCAGGGGAGAATTTCCGGAAATACTACCTCTTCCCCCTTCTACCTACCAGTGTCTTAGACTTTCCCGACTTCCTATCACAGTTTCCCCTAAATTCCCTTAAAAGTCTAGTTCTTCCCCGAAATTTCGCTGTCGGGGGTGGGGGAATATAGCACATGAGGTGGGGAAAGCGGGAGGTGGGGAAGCGGGAAATACGACCGGGCATTTTTTTCTCCTCAACGCCGCAAATTTATCTCAGCAGGCAAATACGACACGGAATGCCCAACACTGATGTGCCCTGTCTCCGACATGAGAAGACATCCTTGGGAAACATGCCGAAAAATATTTTTGCAAATAAAATTTCATAGCCACCTTCTTCTTTTTAGCTGGAGTCGGTGCATTCGGAACGTACTGACGAAGGTGCCCTTCAATGGCTGGCGAAGTGGCAGCGCTCTTCAACACTTTCGCTGAGAATGTTGATAAACGCCGCTTCACAGAAGGGAACTGAAAAAGTGAAAAGGATAAAAACAATTAGATTGAGGAAATATTATTAGAACAATCAGGCGCACTTCGGCTTGGTGGGGGCACTGAATGGTACTTCGCAAAGTTGGTTCAGGCCACCTTGTATGGATTTGTAAATTCTTGTGTTAAAACGGCTCAACACTTCATCGGAGTTTACAATTCTCGCTAGAGTGTAACCTAATACATGAACTTGCAAACGGAGGGAGTGAAGGGGCAAAGGCTCCTCCCATGCCGAACGGCGCCGAAACATCATTCAATGATTAACTGACCTTTTTCGCGCATGGTCCTAGCACAGCAAATATCAAGTTGAATGCTTCACGATCGCCCAGGAAAAACTTCAAATTTCCTTCAAGATGTTCAACAACCGCCATAGCAACATCTTCAGCTCGTTGTGTATCACGCCATATATTCCAGCCAAGAACAAAAGGTGCATTGGGTATCTAGGAATAAGATTTTACACATTCTGAAATAATATTGACCGTGGTGGAACTGCGAAACTAGGTAATTACCGTAGCAGCCTTCAAATGCTGAACCATTTCCGCACGCGTCATTGGTTTAGCAGGTGGCGGCTCGATCACTTCGGTAGCTTTTCGGGGAGATATAGTGAAGAATGTGTTAACCTCCATTTTCTCTTCACCAGATTTTTGTATTTCATCAAGGAGGTTGAGCACCTGTAAAGAAAACAGTCTGGTCAATAAGCAAGGTAACGTTCGGACTCCGCGATGACGCACGTGGACGCCGCCCTGCCACTGCAACTACAGACGGGAACGCAGCTGTAGACGGTGTCAATCGTCATCGGCCGCTAGCCTTTTGAGAGAGTATAGGACAGTAGGAGGGTGAGTGTTGCCCATTACACGCGGCCTCGTAGACTCCCATCCCTCTAAAATACTAGCAGTCAGCGCTGATCGATACCCGTCCATGGCTGCGTTCCCGCCTA